CCTTCCCCCCCCCCCCCCCCATAGCTTTAAAATCTCACTGTGCTGTGTACTTCGTTTTGACTTGCGCAGTCTAGATTGGCTTCGGAATTTGCCTCTCGAAGCCTGTCGTCTTGGATCAGCAAGCATGGGTGGTGCTTTTTTCATAGCCCCGTTCCAAAGCAATGTCAAGAATAAGTCAGCTAGAAGCAACTCCACGGAGAGGTCTGCTTCTTATTAGATTCCTAATGAACAGCAAGCAGAATCCGAAACGAGTGGAACAGTATTGTTAATTCATTTTGATTCAAGGCATTCTTGGGCTGGCTTATGTGTGCTGGTTTAAAGATTAGAGAGACCGTAAGCATGTAGTGCATACCATTTCACATCCTCCCTTAGCTGTAAAGCAGTCTTTGTCATTTTGATGTGCACGTCGCTATTGAATTAGAGAAATGTGAATAGTTGTGGATTGGTTGCAAAATTATCATATGAAACATCATAGCTTTCATGATACATACATAAACACAATTTTATATTTTCAATAAACACAGTTAAATAAACACAATTTTATATTTTCATTTTATTTATAATTTTAATATCTAATTATATTTTACATATTTTATTTATATATATATTAATACAATAAATATATTAATAAAATATGTAAAATATAATTAGATATTCAAATTATAAATAAAATGAAAATATAAAATTGTGTTTATTTAACGCACATTATAACATCTAATATAATCATTGGAATCTGAATTTCATGTTTTCTATGAAATGTGTAAGCTCAGCATAAAAGTGTCATGTCACATATTAGCATTATATCTTTCTTTTTAATATGTTTGCAGTCCATTATTTTTTGGTCTTCTCTTTGTTCTTTCAATCTGTATATCTAAAATGTTTATCTCCAGGTCTGAGTGTGGCATGTTTTGCGTTATCCCTCTCTGATGCATGACTTTTTTGCATTAGTCAGTAGATTCTTGGTTGACAAAATCAAGATTTTTAACGCACACTAAAAAGAAATATCCAGCCGCTTTGTGTTTTCAAGTTTGTTTTTTGTGATTTAGAAAAGCCAGACCAGCCTATACCACTGAGGTCACGTTTCAGTGTTCTTCATCACTAAAACAGCTGCGTGCACTTTGCTGTATCTTTTTGAAATGCACCTATATTGATAACATAGCTCTCCATGTTTGTTATGAGAAATACTCACAGTTGTGCTTTAGAAATGTAAAGAAAATGAAAAAGCACTATTGATGGAAAGAGTTTGATGCCCTAACTAACCTGTTTTTTTCACTAACCAGGTGCTAAATATATCTTGACTGTGTAAATGTGTAAATTATGTTTCCTATAGATTGCACCTTTTTCACAAAATTGTCCTGCTTCAAATAATGATATTACCTGAATTTCATTTAAAAGAAATATCAGAAATTGTCTTCAAATTGTGTTCAGCACAGATTGGTGGGCGAATTTTGTGCCATTACCTGATTTGCATGATTCCATCGATGAATCAGACAATATATAGCTTTTGGAAAAAAAACAACAACACAATCAGGGGACACTCTTACTGAATTCCTCCCTCTGTCTTTTGGTTTTTGTGTGTCTGCGTGTGTTGTTTGTTGTGTTTCATTTCTATGAGGAGATGGATGTGCACCTACGCTTGGTTGGATGACAAATTTGCCCTGTGTGTAAAATATGGGTTAAGATGACATTAGTCATGTTGGTCCACACTAGTGTGAGTGCATCTTTGCGAGTGTGTGTGTCTGTATCATGGGTAAGACACGCTGTAAGTAAGCTGACACTGATGACGCAGGGCTCTCGCCTACAGTGTTTCTCAGCTCATTTTCAGATGGTAATTCGCCCCTTCCAAAGCAAACTCACAGAGTGTAAGGAAACGATTATATGCATGGCCGGCCATCCGTCAACATGCCCTGGGTTCTTTTCTCAGCAACCAACTTTGTCCAAGCCTTTTTATATTATTTAAAAATATTCCCAGAGACAAACAAGGGAAGAAGCAGAGTATTTGATTTGAAATATCTCGCAGGTGGGCTCCCTTTGGTCCTTTGTTTATGTGATGCATATTTCTTATTTCATTCACTCTTTTGTTCTCGTTCTGCCAAAACAAACATGAAAAAGAAGTACATTTTGCCTAATTATGAAAATATGGCTGCACTACCATTCCATATTCACAATAGATGCTGTGGAAAACAAAAGACAGACTGCAAGATGTCAAGAATACTTATATAGTATGCATAGTCACGAGAAGACAGCCCATAAAGGTTAGCAAAAGGAAACTCCCTTTAAAGTAAATAAAGTACAGGGTTAGCCCGCAGTCACCATCCCCATTTAGTGGAGAATGATGGAGAAAAATAAACAAGGTAAAAGTAACCTCAGAATGAAAACATTTTTTGTAATATCTCATTGAATGTAACATAATCCAAAGAAATCTCTCTTTAAAAGGATTCTATTCCCTCACAGTATCCTTTGGATCAATTTCATCAAACCTCACTTATTAATTGGCTTTCTGCATATAGCCGTAATTCAATCGTGATTGACCCTAGTGAGCAGGAGCCCAGCTGAGCGAGGCCATACCACATCATCAATCACCGAAATCCACAACGGTGGTGGCCCCTATTAAAGGCTAGTCTTTGTATTAAAACACAACAGGCCAACTAGGTATGTTTGCATAAAGTCACATGACAATCAGGTGTCCTTTCAAGAGTGTCAGCCCTACGGAGCCGCCACATCACAAAGACACTCCTGCAAGGACTTAAATGCCCCTATTAAAGGCTAGTCTTTGTATTAAAACACAACAGGCCAACTAGGTATGTTTGCATGATGAACTGTCTTTAACTGAAAAATGAGTGTTTACTATTGTCACTTTGCATTATTGACACTATTTTCCTAATTAATGCTGTTCAGTTGCTTTGTCACAATCTGTATTGTTAAAAGCGCTATATAAATAAAGGTGACTTGACTTGACTTGACTTGACTTTGCATAAAGTCACATGACAATCAGGTGTCCTTTCAAGAGTGTCAGCCCTACGGAGCCGCCACATCACAAAGACACTCCTGCAAGGACTTAAATTATAATGCTTCTCTGATTTCCATTGTTCTTTGCTCTGGCAGAAGAGGGAATTTGGTTTCCATAGCGCTTAACTGGCATCAGATGTTTGCAGAAAGTCCCACGCACCCGATCGGAGCGCTAAGATTGTTGGCCAGCACTGTATTGATCCCAACGCTGTGATCTAAAACAATGACAGTTCCTCCTAAGACGGGGACCACAGTGCTATCAAGCTCATCGAGGGGAAAATCCATCACAGGAATCTCTCGTAGACTCTTGTTGTCAAGAGGACCAGGTTTTCATTAGCCCATTTAACTCAGCACAGATAACTGAAGCTACTTTTCAAAGTTGGTGGGGAAAAGAGGGTATTTGGCTGCTTTTTAAAAAGCAGTTCAAAGGCATGGATGTGACTCTCTGTACGACGGCCTGCCGCCAATGACTGACTGGTGGAGCGATTCTGTTACTGGAGCAGATGGCAGGATATCCTGCTGTAGAGATTGTCTCAGAACGGTTCAAAGGGAACAGCGCAGTGGAAATTATGCGCCTTGGTCCCATATCGAAGTAATAAAGTCGCATCAAAGACGCCGATTACCTTGTTACATAAACCAGTGCCACGGCTTCATAGTTGTGTGGGTTACATTATTTAATTTAACCGTGTGGGTGTGTTTTTGTAGAAATGTGTGTAAAACATTGAGTTGTGGATTTCGTCCCTGGACAGCTGAGGAAACCATCCCAGTGTATTGAAAAATTTGCTGTTGGCCCAGTGCAAGCTTGTTTTGTAAATATGTATAAGTAATAAAAGCTGGTTTTGTGTCATAGCCGTGATGTATCTGCCAAGAGGACCAGGTTTTCATTAGCCCATTTAACTCAG